TCTGCTATCGCTGTATCTATCGATGATTTCTGTGTTGTTTACTAGGATTTCTCTGGCGATGGTTTGGTAGTGGGAAGAGATTAAATGTTCCTTAATGGTGCCCTGTTGTTTATGCATCGTTAAACGCCTAGAAAGAGATGTTGTTGTCTTGCCTATATACTGGTTTTTTTGGAGCTTACAGTCCCCAAGTGGGCATTTAAAGGCATAGACGACGTTGGTCTCTTTTAAAGCGTTCTGCTTTGTGTCTGGAGAGTTTCTCATGAGTAGGCTGGCCGTTTTTCTGGTTTTATAGTAAATCGTCAGTTGTATCCTCTGATTTTTGTCTGTAGGGATAACGTTTCTATTAACAATATCTTTCAGGACCCTTTCCTCCGTTTTATGAGCTGTGGAAAAGAAGTTCCTGTAAAATAGTCTAATAGGGGGTATAGGTGTTGTGTTAGTTGTCTCTTCAGAGGTTGCATGGCGTTTCACTTTCCTTCTTATGATGTCTTCGACGAAACCATTGTAGAAGCCGTTATTGACTAGGACCTGCCTTACCCTACAGAGTTCTTCGTCGACTTGCTTCCATTCTGAGCTGTGGCTGAGAGCACGGTCGACATATGCGTTAACAACACTCCTCTTGTACCTGTCTGGGCAGTCGCTGTTGGCTTTTAGGCACATTCCTATGTTCGTTTCCTTAGTGTAGACTGCAGTGTGGAAACCTCCGCTCTTTTCCATGACTGTTACATCTAGAAAGGGCAGCTTCCCATCCTTTTCCATCTCGTAAGTGAAACGCAGCACGGAACTCTGCTCAAATGCCTCCTTCAGCTCCTGCAGATGTCTGACATCAGTTCTATTCAGTTCTATTCAGTTGTGTATTTCTTCAGTTGTGTAAGTTCTATTCAGTTGTGTATGTGTAAAGTCTTTGAAAATGTAATAAGTTTTACGAAACGCGCTCAAGTGTCGCGTCAGACTAGAAATAAAAATGAATTTTGGAGAATTGATTTTTGAATTACCTCCAACAGTGAAAAGAAATGTACGAAAGATTGAGAAAATTCGTGTTACAATTATTAATCTTACTTTTTCGGTCATATATAATAATATATGTCTACAGGAAAGACTGCTATAAAAATATACTAATATATATATATATATATATATATATATATATATATATATATATATATATATATATATATATATATATATATATATATATAATGGGGGAATCGTAGATTGTATGATAGGTGGGGAGAGAGAGGGGGGCCACAATCATTCTCCTCACAATCTCTCAGAGATTTTCATATATTTTTATTTCTTCATGGTGATAGAACCTTGAAATGTATCTATCAATATGAAAGGCATATATACATGAAAGAAGTATCAAAAAGTAAAGGATGCTTCCAAAATAAAAAGAATGGTATACGTGAATGAAAAATACAGTGAAAGCACAGTGTATAACAATGAAAGCAAGGAGTATAGCAATGAAAGCAGTGTCTAAGATTTTGAAAGGTAGGTGTATGACTCAAATGTGTGTGTAGGACTATATCACGATCTTATTGAAGTAAATGAATGATTGATTAACAGTGAAAGAACGCTGTTTATCAATGAAAGAAATATGAATGATATTGAAAGGAAGGTGAATGAAAACATGATGGGTAAATAATCGCGAAAGCAGTGGCGCAACAGTGAATAAAGTTATTAAAAGGTAGGAGACTAAAATAGTTATAACCATGAAAGAAGTTTTATCCATGAAAGAAGTTAGATCCACGAAAGAAGTTTTATCCATGAAAGAGTTTATAACAATGAAAGAAGTAATAGCTATGACAAAATGTATAACAATAAAAAAGTTAAGACAAAAAAATAAATTATAACTATGAATGAAATTAAAAAAATTAATGTTATGACATTGAAAGAAATAATAACAATGAATGAAATTATAATAACAAAAAAATGATCTTTGACAGTGAAAGAAGATTTTGTAGCCATGGTATCACAGTGTGTGTGGGGGGGGGGGGGGAAGGGTGTCACAGTATGGGATCTGTATGTGTCTAAAATAGACAGGAAACCCACTTCTTGTCATAATAGACAGTAAACCCACTTCTAGTCATAATAGACAGGAAACCCACTTCTAGTCATAATAGGCAGTAAACCCACTTCTAGTCATAATAGACAGTAAACCCACTTCTAGTCATAATAGACAGGAAACCCACTTCTAGTCATAATAGGCAGTAAACCCACTTCTAGTCATAATAGACAGTAAACCCACTTCTAGTCATAATAGACAGTAAACCCACTTCTAGTCATAATAGACAGAAAACCCACTTCTAGTCAAAATAGACAGAAAACCCACTTCTAGTCAAAATAGACAGAAAACCACTTCTAGTCAAAATAGACAGAAAACCCACTTCTAGTCATAATAAGCAGTAAACCCACTTCCTAGTCAAAATAGACAGAAAACCCACTTCTAGTCAAAATAGACCGAAACCCACTTCTTTTCATAATGGACAGGAAATCGAATTTTAGTCAAAATAGACAGGAAGCCTAATTCCAGTGAAAATGAACAGGTAGCCTAATTCCGGTGAAAATGAACAGGTAGCCTAATTCCGGTGAAAATGGACAGGATGCTTACTTCATGTCAAAATAGACAAAAAGTTCACTTCCTGACAAAAATAAACAGGAGCCACTTCCTGTAAAAATGAGCAGGAAGCTGACTTTCAGTCAATAGACAGGATGCCCACGTCTAATCAATAGACAGGAAGTCCACTTCCAATCAGTAGACAGGAAGTCCACTTCCAATCAGTATACAGGAAGTCCACTTCCAATCAGTATACAGGAAGTCCACTTCCAATCAGTAGACAGGAAGTCTACTTCCAATCAGCAGGTAGCCCTCTTTCAGTCAGTAGACAGGAAGTCCACTTCCAGTCAGTAGACAGGAAGTCCACTTCCAATCAGCAGCTAGCCCACTTCCAATCAGTAGACAGGAAACCCACTTTTAGCCAATAGACAGGAAACCCACTTCCAGTCCATAGGCAGCAAAGACCGTCATCATTTATTAAAGAAAATCTCTATAAAGCAGAGAGGATGGTTACGGAACATTAGGTCTGCTGTCTGTGCTCTTCTGTAATTCCACTTGAGGAAGAGAAACGTAATAAGAGGCGACGAGTCACAATAACGTGGCTGAAGTATGTTGACCAGACCACACACTAGAAAGTGAAGGGACGACAACGTTTCGGTCCGTCCTGGACCATTCTCGTTGGACCGTCCTGGACCATTCCATGAAACGTCGTCGTCCCTTCACTTACTAGTGTGTGTGGTCTGGTCAACAAACGTAATAGGAGTTTTCAGGAAGCAGTAAACAATTTTGTGATATGATAGACTCATTACAGGACTTGTGAAGTACACACGAGACTCCAGCACAAGCTGGATCATTACTGGCAGTAACTGGAGGTTGATTCTGCAAGCCCCTACTGATAACAGCACGATCAGACATAAACAAGAGCAGCTCAAGCAGGTGCAGCAGGAAGACCAGAAAGCAGCAACAGGGCTCAATTGAAGCAGAATCAAAAGATGTGACCAACTGGTGCAACAGCAAGACCACACTCAAGCAGCAGAGTGCAACTACTGATGCAGAAGCAAGACCCAACTCCAGTAGAAACAGGAGCCAACTAAAGCAGCAGCAGAAGCAGCAGTAGGGCTGTGTGTAAGCAGGAAAACGTACTGTAACAAGGGCATTAGACTCGTTGCTTGATCACTGAATGCCCTCAGCTTACACCTCCCTCGCTACAAACACACCGCACCAGGAACACACCTTTTATCAAAATCCCGCTTGACTTATTTCTAATGACAAAATAATCCTCATCTAGAGCCGATCAGGTATGTATTTTTATCAGTGAAGATTGATTAATGTGTATATGCATATATATAATGTACCTAATAGGCAAAGTTGACTAACAACCCGAATTTTTCTTAAATTATATACTTACAAAAATTTGTATAGGGTGATTAAGTTTTCCATTACATTATATATAATTTGACATTTTTAGAGTTAAAACTAACATAGAAATTTTATCAAACCTAACTTAACGTAATCTAACATAATTGAGTCAGTAATTCATGTCTTAAGTATTATTGGAATACTCTCTCTCTCTCTCTCTCTCTCTCTCTCTCTCTCTCTCTCTCTCTCTCTCTCTCTCTCTCTCTCTCTCTCTCTCTCTCTCTCTCTCTCTCTCTCTCTCTCTCTCTCTCCTCTCTCCCTCCCTCTTGTCCTCCCTCCCTCTGTATAAACCCATCCCCTCCCTCCCTCCCTCCCTCCCTCTCCCTCCCTCTCTCTCTCTCTCTCTCTCTCTCTCCTCTCTCTCTCTCTCTCTCTCTCTCTCTCTCTCTCTCTCTCTCTCTCTCTCTCTCTCTCTCTCTCTCTCTCTCTCTCTCTCTCTCTCTCTCCCTGGCCTAGTTGGTAAAGCTTCGTGAGAATATATTTAAATACAGTACGATATTATTACCATACCTGAACTGAAATTTAAGAAAATTTCGACTGGTATTAAATAATAACTTCGATTAGGCAGTATGAATGAATAATCGGGTGACTCAGGTTAGGTGAATATTGCTGAGTTACTTTTCATTGAACATAATACAAAATATATATCATAAGCTTTGAACCAAGTGTATCTGTCATTGCACAATGAATCAATGAACAAACATTATCGATAATAGTTATTAATAAATAAATATTAATAAAGCTGGGGCTATACAATATATATATATCACTGCAAGGGTCACAGCAGGGATTCTTGCACGAATATTTTATATATCTTATGTTCATTCTTATTTAAGAATAATGTTGACAAATTAGCTTTAAAGTCAATTTTACACATTTGAGGAGGAGTAATAGATTTCGCCTCCGAGGATGCTAAGGAGTTCTTTAACGAAACGCGTTAGGATCATTAAGAATGTTAAATGTACTCTGAATGGCAATTTTTGATTAATTTTCTTCCTTAAAGAAAAAAACATAAGACATCGGCATGCATGAAAGGTTAGCCATAAAATAGGTGCAAGAGTCAACCAAACCCTGAACCTATTGATGTCCCACTTCCTGCGGAAGTGTTCTGTCAAGAAATACGTACAATTCCCATTGCTGACTTGTGCATTGTATAAGGATTCGTGCACAAGTAACCCCTTGGGTGGAAATAGAGATGTTGCACATTGCATGAGGACTGGTTGATGTTTATGCTTGCATGTGTTTCTTAATCACAGTTGCGTTCATTATTTATGTTTAATTTTCATTTGTAAAAGACCAACGCCTCACTTTAACCAGAGATCAAATGGAGAACTAAAGAAAAAAACGATAAAAAATACTAATAACGTTTTAAGAGTAATATCTCGAGCAGTAACACGAGAGCGAAGAGTCTGTTAAACAACACGTCGGCAATAACATGTGAATGAAACAGAAAGTGGGCATTTACTTGTATGCACTGTAAGAGTGTACCACCAAGACGGTATACACAAGGAGCGCGAATGGACCGGTTGGCGAGCGTCGCCTAGCGAGGTGTTGACGGGACCGTGGCGGCCGCGTGACTGAGCCGCGCCCGGGACGGTCCACCACCACCACCACCCGACCCCCACACAGTTGCCAGCTGCCCCCACCTGACGGAGGTCCACACCCATACACCATCACAGGCACGTGTGTGTGTGTGGGGAGGGGGGAGGGCAGGTGTGTGGGGTGATCAACCTGCTCTCGCACAAGACAGCCCATATATGACTTATTGCTTGCTAGTCACTATTTCACTTATAAATAAGTATATATATGACATATTCCAATCCATTTTTTTCAAGGCACTAACTTTTCCTCTCAGTTTTATTAAACAATAGAGATTTTATACCAAATTTTACAATATCCTGAGTTACTTTACAATGTATTTAAATATTTTAGTTTTTTTTTATTATTATTAAAACTGTAATATCAATATAGGAATAGGTTCAGTACTAATTGTAATATCTTAACATAATAAGAAGGTTAGGTTAGGTTGTGGTTTTCTATTCAGCTTTTCAAGGTAAACTCAAATATTCACAATAAAATAGTATGTCACATATGCACTTATTTATAAGCAAGATATTGACTATAAGCAAGTGCGAGAACGGGTTGGGGTGATCTAAATATAGTTATTAGGGTCTGGAGTCATTCGACAGGCGACGCCATTGTTTACAAGGCGATGACCAAGAGCTAGCACTCATCCTCCTTATCAACAGATGGGCAGCAACGTAGGGGAAACAATCCTAAACAAATTTAGTTATTTTATTCTGTCATTTAATTTGTGAATGAATACGCACATGCATGAATACACTTATATACTCCTTATTCAACTCTTCAGTGATATTTTCTTCTCCACTCCCCCGTTTTCTTTTACTCGGGGTCTCTCATTAAACGGATTTTGTTACAAATGGAGAGTTATAATGAATAATTAGAAGTTCATCTCCTCGAGCCACAGAAGAGAGGACCCGGGAGGCGTTGTCTTTCTTACTCGCCAGACGCCCGCGCTACAACCTGAAGCTGTGGTGAGCCACGCCACAAGCAACTGTGAAGCTGTGGTGAGCCACGCCACAAGCAACACTGAAGCTGTGGTGAGCCACGCCACAAGCAACTGTGAAGCTGTGGTGAGCGACGCCACAAGCAACTGTGAAGCTGTGGTGAGCCACGCCACAAGCAACACTGAAGCTGTGGTGAGCGACGCCTCAAGCGACTCTGAAGCTGTGGTGAGCGACGCCTCAAGCGACTCTGAAGCTGTGGTGAGCCACGCCACAAGCGACTGTGAAGCTGTGGTGAGCCACGCCACAAGCAACACTGAAGCTGTGGTGAGCGACGCCTCAAGCGACTGTGAAGCTGTGGTGAGCGACGCCTCAAGCAACTGTGAAGCTGTGGTGAGCGACGCCACAAGCCACTGTGAAGCTGTGGTGAGCCACGCTACAAACGACTCTGAAGCTGTGGTGAGCGACGCCTCAAGCGACTCTGAAGCTGTGGTGAGCCACGCCACAAGCGACTGTGAAGCTGTGGTGAGCCACGCCACAAGCAACACTGAAACTGTGGTGAGCGACGCCTCAAGCGACTGTGAAGCTGTGGTGAGCGACGCCTCAAGCAACTGTGAAGCTGTGGTGAGCGACGCCTCAAGCCACTGTGAAGCTGTGGTGAGCGACGCCACAAGCAACTGTGAAGCTGTGGTGAGCGACGCCTCAAGCGACTCTGAAGCTGTGGTGAGCGACGCCACAAGCGACTCTGAAGCTGTGGTGAGCGACGCCACAAGCGACTCTGAAGCTGTGGTGAGCGACGCCTCAAGCGACTCTGAAGCTGTGGTGAGCGACGCCACAAGCGACTCTGAAGCTGTGGTGAGCGACGCCACAAGCGACTCTGAAGCTGTGGTGAGCGACGCCACAAGCGACTCTGAAGCTGTGGTGAGCGACGCCACAAGCGACTCTGAAGCTGTGGTGAGCGACGCCACAAGCGACTCTGAAGCTGTGGTGAGCGACGCCTCAAGCAACTGTGAAGCTGTGGTGAGCGACGCCACAAGTGACTGTGAAGCTGTGGTGAGCGACGCCACAAGCGACTCTGAAGCTGTGGTGAGCGACGCCACAAGCGACTCTGAAGCTGTGGTGAGCGACGCCACAAGCGACTCTGAAGCTGTGGTGAGCGACGCCACAAGCGACTCTGAAGCTGTGGTGAGCGACGCCACAAGCGACTCTGAAGCTGTGGTGAGCGACGCCACAAGCGACTCTGAAGCTGTGGTGAGCGACGCCACAAGCGACTCTGAAGCTGTGGTGAGCGACGCCACAAGCGACTCTGAAGCTGTGGTGAGCGACGCCACAAGTGACTGTGAAGCTGTGGTGAGCGACGCCACAAGCGACTCTGAAGCTGTGGTGAGCGACGCCACAAGCGACTCTGAAGCTGTGGTGAGCGACGCCACAAGCGACTCTGAAGCTGTGGTGAGCGACGCCACAAGCGACTCTGAAGCTGTGGTGAGCGACGCCACAAGCGACTCTGAAGCTGTGGTGAGCGACGCCACAAGTGACTGTGAAGCTGTGGTGAGCGACGCCACAAGTGACTGTGAAGCTGTGGTGAGCGACGCCACAAGCGACTCTGAAGCTGTGGTGAGCGACGCCACAAGCGACTCTGAAGCTGTGGTGAGCGACGCCACAAGCGACTCTGAAGCTGTGGTGAGCAACGCCACAAGCGACTCTGAAGCTGTGGTGAGCGACGCCACAAGCGACTCTGAAGCTGTGGTGAGCCACGCCACAAGCGACTCTGAAGCTGTATGTGTCTAGAGGGATTAAAGAGTTTGGTTTTCCGTCGACTTTCCTGGGAATAACGAGCGGAGAGGCTTGTGCTGTGAGGACACTGAGCACCTGGTGTAGCACCAACTCATAGGGCCAGGACCGGGACTGGACATGAGAGTCTGGAGAAATAAAGACAAAGAGCAGGATTAACGTATATAATAAATGACGAAATTAATGATACTTGCTGGATGGGTCAGTAAGCAGTTGCGGAGGTCTTAATAACCCTAGTGCAGTTGATAGGCCTTGAGCCCATCACCACAACAAACCCCGGGGATTATCAGTGTGAAATGCTTCATTTCTCTTGCTTTTAACGTCATTAAGAAGGTGTGCCATAAGGAAGCAGTTGATGTATTTTTCACTGTCTGCTGTTACTGGAAATTGAGTCTCAGATATCGATTTCACGTATGTCAGTTGCAGAATAAAGGTTGCAAGTGTTCTTGGACTGGATATCCTGATGGGCGTAGGAGCGTCGCTCAAGAGATATGAGGACCAAGAAGGTCAAGAACACGAAGGCCAAGAACCTCTTAAGACCCACATAGCTGTAGCTAAATAGGTAAAGCGTAACTTGTGTCGATAAGACGCGCGATCATGAGCAGGGGCCAGATTCAGAAAGCTGTTACGCAAGTACTTACGAACGTGTACATCTTTTCTCTGTCTTTGGCGGCTTTGTTTACAATTATTAAACTGTTTACAAGCATAAAAACTTCCCAATCAACTGTTGTTATTGTTATAAACAGCCTCCTGGTGCTTCGGAGCTCATTAACCGACTAATAATTGTAAACAAAGCCACCAAAGACTGAGAAAAGATGTTCACGTTCGTAAGTACTTGAGTAACCGCTTCGTGAATCTGGCCCCAGGTCTTTGACACAAGGTTGACATGGGTCCATGCGTGCATGCGTTCTCGAGATTTTTCTGAGAGAGTGAAGCGAAGTTATCGAAGATATCCTGGTAATTCATCCAGAGTTTATACCCATTTAGGCTAGTGATCACATGGCTCTGCATGACGACCCTTCCAGAGATGGGGAGTGTCATAGTATCACAGCAGCTAGCTCTTGAGGCAAACTGTGTAGGTCATCATATATATTCTGTGGTAGATGTGTAACATGACCATGTGTCTGGCTCCAACAGCACTTGGGTTGAGTACTGTAGAGTTTTGTGTATCATCTTGACATACGCCTGGACGTTGGTGTTTACTGGCATTGTTAATCTTTTGTTTATTGCTGGATTAGGATAGGAAGGGACGGAGGAGGGGGGGGGGAGAAGTACCCGGCTGCAACCAGGTCTCCTCTCTTCTAATTTCCCGCTCCCTTCTCTCTCTCTCTCTCTCTCTCATCCTCTTCCCACTTTCCTCACTACATACTGGAGGCCACATACAAGCACCACATACTGGAGGCCATTCACAAGCCCCACATACTGGAGGCCACACACACAAGCACAACATACTGGAGGCAACACACACGCACCACATACTGGAGGCCACACACACTAGCACTACATACTGGAGGCCACACACACAAGCACCACATACTGGAGGCCACACACACAAGCACCACATACTGGAGGCCACACACACAAGCACCAAATACTGGAGGCCACACACACAAGCACCACATACTGGAGGCCACACACACAAGCACCACATACTGGAGGCCACACACACTAGCACTACATACTGGAGGCCACACACACAAGCACCACATACTGGAGGCCACACACACAAGCACCACATACTGGAGGCCACACACACAAGCACCACATACTGGAGGCCACACACACAAGCACCAAATACTGGAGGCCACACACACAAGCACCATATACTGGAGGCCACACACACACAAGCACCACATACTGGAGGTCACACACAAGCACCACATACTGGAGGCCACACACAAGCACCACATACGGGAGGCCACACACAAGCACCACATACTGGAGGCCACACACACAAGCACCACATACTGGAGGCCACACACACAAGCATCAAATACTGGAGGCCACACACACAAGCACTACATACTGGAGGCCGCACACACACAAGCACCACATACTGGAGGTCACACACAAGCACCACATACTGGAGGCCACACACAGGTACCACATACTGGAAGCCACCCACAAGCACCACATACTGGAGGCCACACACAAGCCCCACATACTGGAGGCCACCCACAAGCACCACATACTAGAGGCCACACACACAAGCACCACATACTGGAGGCCACCCACAAGCACCACATACTAGAGGCCACACACACAAGCACCACATACTGGAGGCCACACACAAGCACCACATACTGGAGGGCAAACACACAAGCACCACATACTGGAGGCCACACACAAGCACCACATACTGGAGGCCACACACAATCACCACATACTGGAGGCCACACACAAGCACCACATACTGGAGGCCACACACAAGCACCACATACTGGAGGCCACACACAAGCACCACATACTGGAGGCCACACACAAGCACCACATACTGGAGGCCACACACACAAGCACCACATACTGGAGGAAACACACAAGCACCGCATACTGGAGGCCACACACAAGCCCCACATACTGGAGGCCACACACAAGCACCACATACTGGAGGCCACACACAAGCACCACATACTGGAGGCCACACACAAGCACCATATACTGGAGGCCACACACAAGCACCACATACTGGAGGCAACACACAAGCACCACATACTGGAGGCCACACACAAGCACCACATACTGGAGGCCACACACACAAGCACCACACACTGGAGGAAACACACAAGCACCACATACTGGAGGCCACACACAAGCACCACATACTGGAGGCCACATACAAGCCCCACATACTGGAGGCCACACACAAGCACCACATACTGGAGGCCACACACACAAGCACCACATACTGGAGGCCACACACAAGCACCACATACTGGAGGCCACACACAAGCACCACATACTGCAGGCCACACACAAGCACCACATACTAGAGGCCACACACACAAGCACCACATACTGGAGGCCACACACAAGCACCACATACTGCAGGCCACACACAAGCACCACATACTAGAGGCCACACACACAAGCACCACATACTGGAGGGCACACACAAGCACCACATACTGGAGGCCACACACAGGCACCACATACTGGAGGCCACCCACAAGCACCACATACTGGAGGCCACACACAAGCACCACATACTGAAGGCCACCCACAAGCACCACATACTAGAGGCCACACACACAAGCACCACATACTGGAGGCCACACACAAGCACCACATACTGGAGGCGACACAAAAGCACCACATACTGGAGGGCAAACACACAAGCACCACATACTGGAGGCCACACACAAGCACCACATACTGGAGGCGACACAGAAGCACCACATACTAGAGGCCACACACAAGCACCACATACTGGAGGGCAAACACACAAGCACCACATACTGGAGGCCACACACAAGCACCACATACTGGAGGCCACACACAAGCCCCACATACTGGAGGCCACACACAAGCACCACATACTGGAGGCCACACACACAAGCACCACATACTGGAGGAAACACACAAGCACCACATACTGGAGGCCACACACAAGCACCATATACTGGAGGCCACACACACAAGCACCACATACTGGAGGAAACACACACAAGCACCACATACTGGAGGTCACACACAAGCACCACATACTGGAGGCCACACACAAGCACCACATACTGGAGGCCACACACACAAGCCCAACATACTGGAGGTCACACACAAGCACCACATACAGGAGGCCACACACACAAGCCCCACATACTGGAGGCCACACACACAAGCACCACATACTGGAAGCCACACACACAAGCCTCACATACTGGAGGCCACACACACAAGCCTCACATACTGGAGGCCACACACACAAGCACCATATACTGGAGGCCACACACACAAGCACCACATACTGGAGGAAACACACACAAGCACCACATACTGGAGGTCACACACAAGCACCACATACTGGAGGCCACACACAAATACCACATACTGGAGGCAACACACAAGCACCACATACTGGAGGCCACACACAGGCCGCACATACTGGAGGCCACACACAAGCCCCACATACTGGAGGCCACACACAAGCACCACATACTGGAGGCCAAACACAAGCACCAAATACTGGAGGCAACACAAGCACCACATACTGGAGGCCACACACAATCACCACATACTAGAGGCCACACACAAGCACCACATACTGGAGGCCACACACAAACACCACATACTGGAGGCCACACACAAGCACCACATACTGGAGGCCACACACAAGCCCCACATACTGGAGGCCACACACAAGCACCACATACTGGACGCCACACACAAGCACCACATACTGGAGGCCACACACAAGCCCCACACACTGGAGGCCACACACAAGCCCTACATACTGGAGGCCACACACAAGCACCACATACTGGAGGCCACACACAAGCCCCACATACTGGAGGCCACACAGAAGCACCACATACTGGAGGCCACACACAAACACCACATACTGGAGGCCACACACAAGACCCACGTACTGGAGGCCACACACACAAGCACAACATACTGGAGGCACCACACACGCACCACATACTGGAGGCCAAACACACAAGCACTACATACTGGAGGCCACACACACAAGCACCACATACTGGAGGCCACACACACAAGCACCACATACTGGAGGCCACACACACAAGCACCGAATACTGGAGGCCACACACACAAGCACCACATACTGGAGGCCACACACACACAAGCACCACATACTGGAGGTCACACACAAGCACCACATACTGGAGGCCACACACAAGCACCACATACTGGAGGCCACACACAAGCACCACATACTGGAGGCCACACACACAAGCACCACATACTGGAGGCCACACACACAAGCACCAAATACTGGAGGCCACACACACAAGCACTACATACTGGAGGCCACACAC